GCAGAGTCGTAGTTTGCCGTCAAGGAAGCAAGCAGATGCACATGGCGGTGACTGGCTGGTCTGAAGCAATCAGATTCCTTTTTCATGTTGAGCATGGGCTCCTGGCACCTGAGTGGCATTTGCAAAAGAGTCGCCGAGGATAGTGCGGCTGTGCAAGCCCCCCCGGCACCCCCGCTCTGCGAGAAGGGCCTCAGGAGGGTGATGCAGCTGCACCAAGAACCACAGGGTGCACAATTTTGAGACACGCCCACATGCAGTATCGTTTTGCGAGCCCGTGGGATGGAAATTCGAACAGAGGCAAACAAAAGGCGGCTCTTGAAACTGAGAGTGGTACGGGTTGGTTGTTTTGACCCATGCACGAGACCCCAATTTGCAACCCGCCACCGTGTGGGTTGCGCTTGTGGTTTATACATGTTTTTCACACGGAATTGCAACGGCCTTGTCCAAAAGAACGAGATTCTCGATAGGCACTCGCATGTTCACTAGCAAAGAACAACAAACACGATTGATATGGAGACTTGGCCCGATGTCGGGTATACCGGTATACCCGTGAGGGCTTTGCGCGTCTTGCCATACTTCGGCTGGCACAGTCCTCTCCCCGCCTCCCCCAAACTGAAGGCCGTGGTTGCGGCAATTGATCGCTGCAGGATCACCGTGCCGTCGCCGAACAGTGTGGCAGCCGTGCCCTGCATGCATTCACCACGTAAGACTTTTGTCAAAATGGTGGCCCCCTTTCTGGTTGGCAAAGGAGAAAGGGAGACAGCAACCATGTTTAGTGGCTGGGGAGGCATGTTGCTTCATTACCTGTGGGGTATAGTTTGATACCGGGAAACCGCCCATTTCTGAGGGCCGCGAAGTCGCGATTTGAAACGAAGCCGTGGAGGGCTTTCCTGAGTTGCGACGGCCGAGGTGGATGAAAGCTTCGCAAAAACTGAGACCAGCCCGAGCCTCATGCTGCAGGTTCTGAAACTGGGGTACTACCCCAGGCCGCCAACCCCCGCTAAACGCCACAAATGGGCGTGGCTCCAAATTTGAGAGCTGGGGTTATGCAGGTTTTTGACTTTGGTTCCAGTTACTATGGGGGCCGTTCTAGCACATGTTTTTGAGCCACAGCCAAATGTCCCCTGGCCCCCCTGGGAGCCACACCAAAATTTGTGTTGCGCTTCGGGGTTCTCTGAGGTCGAACCTCCCGCGTGTGGGCGAGATCAATGAGCTTTCGCATTCGTGAGGAGATGGCATTCATGAGATCCCACATTCCGCATGTCTCTCCAGTAAAGTGCCCTTCGTGTTGCTTTTTACTTATTGCTTTCAAGTATTGGTGTCCTTTTGTGCTCTATGAAGCCCAAGAAAGGTGAGCTATTCTGACACAAAGCATGAATGCGGCTTGTTTGAAGTTTCTTTTCTCCTTCGCTTTCACGTGTGCCAGCTACTCTGAACCAGGTTGCTCAGCTTGCCAACAAGCTAGAATTGAAGCCGAAGAAATAACGCGTTGTGGGGCCAGCTCATTGATCTTTCAATGTGGGAGTTGATCAAAGGGTCCTTGCATAGACTTTTCAAGGTTTCCCTACGTTTTCCTTCTAAATTTAAACATCTCGTTTTGAGTTGCCTCTTGACGGGGTCATGTTAGGGGTGAAATACGGAGCCCTGTTATATCTAGAGGACCGTCACATTTGATCAACCCCCACTTATCAAAGGATACAAGAGATGGAGCCGGCCAGTGAGTTTGGGTGCACTTGGGCCTTTCCGATATGGGTGTCTCACAATTAGGGGACCCGGGACCCAAATGGCCAGGGGTTTTCCTGTTTGGTCAACACGAGGCTAAGTCGTCTTGAGTTCCTTTCAGAGCCCCAGGAGTGGTGCGGCGCTCCCCGGGAAAGCAGCCCGGAGCTGCGGGATCTGTGGCGACCTCAGGTGGGAACATGGCGGCCGGGGCCCTCAGACTTTTTGGGTAACGACCCATGTGGGCCACTTACTCAAAACCCGGGTAGGTGAAGGTTAGTAAGGGGCAGTCCCAGCCAGAAATAGTTGCGGCCGCCCGCTTTTTTATTTACATGGTTCTGGGTAGACCATTTTAATGCCGGGTTGTGATTGTGCCTCATCTGTCTTTTCATCAGGCTTGGCTCAGCCCTGTGCTGTTGGAGTGCTACCCTAAGAGGATCCTCTTCGTGTCTGCGCACTTCCGCCATGTCGGGTAATTGAGCAATCGTGCCAAAGTGTTTGAACCTTTGCCCGACACGAATCGGAATCCATGCTCAAGGCAGATGCAAGTAAGGTCCTCCTTCCTTCGGCGCGCGGCACGTGTTGCGCGCCGCGCAGTCGTGGTAGAGACACGGAGCTGAGGTCATTCAACCCTGCCAAGGTGAGGCGAGGAGCCGAGGGTTGATACATTCCGTTGGTTTGGGGTTTCTCTCACTTTGCCACGGGAGACAAGCAGTTGGAACAGCAGAAAGAATGCCCCAGACACCCGGCCAGGTGCTTAGACGAAAGCGCCTCTCAGCTG